TATTGTCAGTGATAGAGAAGGTTCTACCTCTAGATCTACAGACAACTGTAACTCTCCCATTTCGTTCTATCTTTGCCAATGCCAGGCCTATCTGGCCAGCCATTTACCTTGTTCAATTGGATATGTGTGGGATGGGGTGTTGTTTGGGGCACTCTTTCTCTGTCCTACCAGTTTTTGCTGCATTTGCTTCCCCACCGAGATCCGCCTTTCTTGCTTAAATGGGAACTGGAACTAGGGGCAAAGTTTACCGCTAAGCAAGATAGAATCCTCTTCTTTGCCCACAAGGCTTCTATTTGCAGTAAGTACATAGAGATTGCTTATAAAATTATGCCTTTTTCGTATAGAGCACCCACTGTCTTAGCAGAAAATGTTCCTATGCAGAATGGCACTGCAATGTCCACATTGATACACATCTTTTGGGACTGTCTTGCCTTTGGTTCTTTATATTACCACTCACCTTACGGGAATATCCCTCACTGGCGACCCTCACTGTATCCCACTGACTGTTAACCAATGGTTTGCTAGGTGCGTGACATTCGTGTAATGGAAAACCTTACTGTGGGTCTGAGAGATAGCATGGAGAAACATACCCTCACCAGGTTTTACTGGGATCAATTTCAGGACTATTGCAAATATCATTGAGCTCATGGCTTGATATTGTTGGTGCCATCATGTAGTCTTAGGCTTCCCTTTTTTTTTTTTTCTTTTCCCATCCTGGATAAGAGGAGATGCCTTGTTTTTCTTTCCTCCTGCTCGAGTGCCCCTGCTCTTTTCATTTGTCTAAATTTGATCCAAAGTCCTCTTTGTCATCGGTTTTTCATCTGACCCACTATAATATTTGCTTTGTTGTTTCAGGAGAGAGTTTCTCCTTTTTAAGTGTGAAGCATTTTGTTTCCTTTATCCTATTGCTAAGCTGTACTCTCTGTATCTCAGTCAGAATGCATTTCTTTTTTACAATGTATATTGCTTGTGACCCTATATGTCAGAGTTTAATAAAGAATTTAAAAATATATTATTCTACGTAGGGATGCTCCGATACAAGCATCGGTATCGGCGGTGATACCGAGTATTTGCATGAGTACTCGTACTCATACTCCGATACAAAAAACGAGTACCTATGCTGCGTCCGCCATCTTCAAGGACCCGAAACTGCCGCACACAGGACCTCCAAAGCGTCTTCAATGAAACAAGATGGCCGTGAACTCCTCCTCCAAGTCCTCAGTCATCTGCTCCATTCTGACCTCTTCTCCCGCTGATTGGCCGATTGGATGATTGACAGGCTTCCTCACCAGTCAAGAGTGACTGGTGAGGAAGCCTAACAGTTATACAGAATTGGATATAGCTGTGCCACACTATACAGTGTTCTGGAGTCTGGACATGTGCTCATCTATTTTCCCCACTAGGGGGATACAAGCCTTAGTTAGCAATGGCATGATAAATAATTAATTTAATGTTCTTCATAATATTAAGAAACTGACCTATAATCATGATTTTGTATTGCTTTAGAAAAAATGTGACCAGTCCCTTTAAGAAAAAGTATTGGTAATTGGTATTGGCGAGTACTTGAAAAAAAGTATCGCTACTCGGACTTAAAAAAGTGGTATTGGAGCATCCCTAATTCTATGTACATGGCTCTATTTACACAACTTTTGAAAACTTGTATTGGCTTTATTTTAGAAATAAAAGATAATTTTTCAAACTGTACAACTTTAGAGGTCAAATGTCCAGGATCCCAGTTGGTCATAAGAAATGCAGTCCCATCCTAGATAATCTTCCAAAGCAGGTTCAAACAGAGGACACCAGGTCTTACCCACAAAGCGTCATGTACCTTTACAGCAAAAACAGTGGCCATATAAAAGGGCAATATCTTTGGAGATATGGAAATATTCAATATACAGATACTCCTCGCTTAACGACTTACCTGTTTTGCGACCACTCGCACTTACGACCGTCCTCCGAGCGACCTCCGACCTCGCGCGTCAGCGCCAGTGCGACGTGTCGCCGGGGGAAGTGACGTCCTCCGTTCTTCACAGCGCGTCCCCGTGAGTATTTTCATTGCCCGATGTACAGTACACTGTTCAGTACTGTACATCGGCAACGCTATACAGTACTGTACTAATGCAGTACAGTACTGTATAGAGTTCCTCACTTAACGACCAATTCGTTTAACGACCTGGTCGTAGGAACGGAACTCGGTCGTTAAGTGAGGAATACCTGTAATGTAGATACAAGGGGAAACAGATTAAAAACTAAATTATATTTCATAATCACATTTAGTTTATAGTGTATTTTTTAGGGTCATTGATATAATACCTGCATGTCCTCACATTGTACAGTATGGTAGTTCTAAATGTACTGTACAAGATGACATACTTCTATATGTAAATAAACAACAACTGTCCTGACTAAACATTGAGGCTGGCTTCACTATTATGTGTAGTGGTGATGTGCATTTTACCAACGCTACAGCTCACCGCAATGCACATACTATGTATTTTGGTGTGCCTCATAATTAAAATTGGAAAAAATGTAGGTTTGCTTTTTGGTTGGTTATCGTATTGGTAACCCATGAAAAATGAATGGACAAGTCTTAACACGTTAGGATGCAAAATGCTACATTAACATGCATGTGGTAATGCACCACAACAGACCAATCACATATGAAGGAGGTTTAAAAGCATGCTTTTAGGCACTAGGATTTGTCCTGCACGAATACATATAATTATCATATCGAAGTGCATTCATGCATCACGGGCATATAATTCAATGTTCATATTTATACAATTCAAACAGAATCAATTGTGTTAAAGGGAAAATCATTAAAGTGACACTACTGAACTGTTATTATAGCACAAAGTATATCTAACACAACATCTTCTAACAGATCTGTATTTTTCCTGCTGGTGCATTTGTCCTCTCTGGTGATGAGCTCATGGACACGGTCAATGCTCAGGCCTGAAAACCATTGGAAAGGATTGCTAAATTTATAAAATGCAGTGCGTTTGGTCTGCCATGGTGACCTTTGGAAACAGTTAATCAAAAAAGGCTGTACTAAGTACTGTGTCAAGTAAATTTGCACGGTTAATCCGTTCTCATCTTTGATGTTCTTATTTTTTTTGCTCATGCACAAAAAAAGGACTTTCACGGCTGGGTGACAGCAGAATTTGGATGTCTGCTTATGTTGTTTGTTAGTTTTAATAGAAAAAACAGATGCCTTACTGCTGATGAAAAAAAGCAAGAAGAATAACTCTTTGGTCCCTTGTCAATAGTATAATATCAACAGATATGTAGGAGATCCATCCTTCTTTTTTTTAAAGGAATAATTTTGAACAAAAACAATCAAAAATAATTGTAAAGTTTATCAATTTGTATGTTTAGTTTATACATGGAAATGGCTAAACACTGGCAAACAGCCAATAGCATCTAACAAGCAAGAAAACAGTATTTAACTTGGATTCAAAATATTAATATCTATATACACACACACACACACACACACCCACCCCAAAGAGGATTCACATCTTTAATAGAAAGTGGATATGATGAAATAAAAACAAAACAAAACATACATATCTTAGAACAACAGCAAAATTAAGCTTATTTGTTGTAATTTGTAAAATGTGCAACATACCAGACTGATAAAAATTAACCACACAGAATCTTGCTTTCACCAAATGTACAAGAATTAAAGTCATTACAACTGATATATAACAAGTTGCATAGTTGAATATTAAATGTGTGCGCATTCAACAAAATGTGGTTCTTTAAAATTACAGGAAGCATTACATGTAAATTACAAGTTCCATTACAGAACATTCTCAAATATAAAATTAAAAAGACCCTTAGAATGACCATACACCTATAAATTATCTGCATATTTTCTGTGGTCAACGCTAAACTGTGTGGATGGAGGAATCTCCCACTGGGCCAAGCTTCAGTGTCTTGCTAGTCGGCCCAGATGGCTCTCAAAATACCTGAACAGTGCCTGCATCCAATCAGATTGTTCAGGTATTTTGAGAGCCAGCAGGGCCGACTAGCAAGATACTGAAGCTTGGCCCAGTGGGGGATTCCTCCATCCACACAGCTTAGCGTAGATGGAGGAATCTGTTACACTTTTTCAATCGGAGCACAGAAAACCTGCAGATAATCTAATAGGTGTATGGCCAGATTTAGATATAGTTTTTGTTCTCAGAGGGATCCTTTATGTGTGTGCCTTTCACAATTATTAGGACTGCATACAGCTACAAACTAGGAAATTAGGAATGATAGATTGTATGTTAAAGGTAATCTCCCAAAAGTAAGGAGAATTCCCCTTCTAGACAGTTGTCTCTAAACAGGAGTATACACACTGTACTAAGGAACAGACATTATTTAGCCAAAGAGACGAGAATTATGATAATCTAAAAATATCCTCGACTTATGATTTAAAGGCAGTGTCTTCTGAATGTACATGATTTCTCATTAAATGACATGCAATCCCATCATTAAAAAAAAAAAAAAAAGTTCCAACTCCCAGGTACTCACTTACATTGTACCTGTGATTTGCCAATGCAGAGCAAAGCAACATATTCACTTCAATGCCTCCTTTTCCACAAAGTAACTCTCCCTCCCTTCTACTGGTCAGCCACAGCCTGCCATAGAACTTGACACTTACACAGGGATTCCTTTCTCCTTCTCAAAGTTAAGTATGCAGCTTGGAGGTCAGATACTTCAGTGATCCCTTTGCTTTGCCCTGCATAGCAGCCTATCAGAATCAATCTTGCAGTCGTCTGACTACCGCAGTGGATCTTTATACGATAGATGTGTTAATGTACCTTTGTTCTACAACTCAGTTGTGCATCATTTTTCAGATTACCTTTTCTATTCAACCTCGGCAGCACTGCTAAAAATAAAAGACACATACCCAGTCTAAATTTCATTGAAAAAAGGCTGGCACAAAACTAAAATATAAATAATAAATAGATTCAATATTTAATTCAAAGTGTAGGAGCTTGAGACCGTGTGATGAGCAATTTGATCTACTTCACTCAGTGTCTGAAACTTCTGATGGGATTTTCTGCTGATTTTCTAGGCATTCTTTCAGTTTATCTTCTGTCAGAGTCAGTCGATGCTCCAAGATGGAAACAGTCTGAAAAACAAAGCATATGACATTATTTCTTGCAAACGTATCACTAAGGAGGGGAGGGGGGGGGTTCTTGTCTGGGAATTTAGCCTTTTTCCTCTATTCCTTACACTCTGCATCCTTTAGCAGTGCAACTAACCTGAAAAGGAAATGTAATATTCAGTATGCAAATGCTAAAAAAAGAACATACAACACTTAATTCAAATAAAACACAGTTATAAAAAAAAAAAAAAAAGTGTGTGTGTGTGTATATGAGTAAATAAGAGTAGCTGTACCCCTGTATATTGTGCACTCCGAGGATAGCATCTAAAAGGTTCATGAATGAGTCGCAGCTTACCAAAGTTTGCCTTTTTGAAGTTTAGCGTTCTTGTCAAACCAACATGGTCCTCTTTTCTGTATCCTACTGTAAACATAATCACCTGTGCTCACTGTTATCCACGTTTTCCTGAGTTGCCATGTCTGAACACAGCTCTATGTTGTTTAAAATGATTAGATCTAATATTGCAGTCATCCTAGTTGGGATTTCCACTAGGGATGTTCAGATACCCAGTACCGTACCTGGTACAAGTACAGATACTTTTCCAGCTCTAAGACTAAACTAGAGAAAAACTCAGAAGATAGGAGGCAGCTGTCATTTTTAAGGAGCACAAGGAGCTCCTGGGATATGCGCATCCCTGTTTTTATGTATGTACGTACGTACGTACGTACGTACGTACGTACGTACGTACACATACACACAAATAATATATAATTTATTTATTAGGGATGCACCAATACCATTTCTTGCAGACCAAGTACCGCTACTTGCCCTCACAGACACATGATTTCAGGACAGTGGAGAAGCGCCAGGGCCCTGTCACAGCTGCAACTGCTGCGACCCTGGTAGCTCTCATGAAAATGCAAAGCATCAGCACTGGTATCTGAAAATCCCTAATTTCCTCCATTTGTTCATGAGACTGTCCCACAATAAGTTCAACAAACGGCAAGCCTTGGTTGAGTGTGTGGTTCCTTTTGTCCAGTCAATGTCCGGATAATTGAAGTTCCCCATTATAAGAACATTTCGAAATCTGTGAGAGGAGTAGAGTCTCCTCTTCCTCCTTTATGTTTACTATTAGCCTCAGTCTTATTTAGTTCAAACCACAAAGTCTTTATCCCTACCATGTGCTTCTCTGCTCACAATGCATCTCAGGAGAATTTCTCATTCAATGTGTCATTACAATAAAATGGAAAAGGGAAGTATTTTAGCATTATGGAGCATTTAAAATAACCAGCTAGGCCTGAAATAAGGGAGTGCATTCATTGTAATTGTGCAAGCTACAAGGATGTCATCCTCATTCTTCCTTCACTAAGCACTCGTTCACACCTGAACGTTTTGTAGCGCGTTCTACGCTCGACAAACGCTCTACAAAACGCTCAAAAATATCAATCCCATTGTATTCAATGGTCTCGTTCCCACCTTGGCGTATTTCCGCCCGTCCCTAACCCGCTACAAAACGGCCCATGCCTGAAAAGGTCCAGGTACTACTTTGGGCCGTTTTGTTGCGCGTTTCCATTGGGATACAGCCAAGAAGCCTTCGGAAACGCGCGACGGTCGCGCAACTTTTTACCGCGAATCGCGGTAAAAAACGCGCGACAGACGCGCATATGCAATACGTCTAGGTGTGAACGAGACCTAAGGATGTGGCTGTAAGCTTGATCCAAGTCAGTGACACACCACACTAAAGGGTCTAATGGGTAATGATTCCACAAACTAGTCACAAAAATGTCATGCAATATCTACATTTTTTTTAAAATTTGACTTAATATTTATATACAGACACCTAAGAAAAGAGGTATGGATAAGATTGAGAGCTCTTATGGTGACAGCTGCATATATTCCTGACCTGACATATTCCCTTTTCTTCTGACAACTTGAAGATAAAAACTGTAAACTTTCTATGAGTGAGGGAGCATGCGATTCCATGACCATGTAACACTGATGATTGGCCACTCAGGCATCCAAAGCTGTTACATGGGGACAGCTTCTACTCCTATTTATGCTCATTGGTTAATGGAGTAGCAAATGAGTTAAGATAATGCAAGTATAAGCTGCTATGGGGTGGCATTAAAGTAAACCTGAGCTTTGCCCTGTATGAGCAAAGAAAAGGTTCACTTTAAAACTTTGTCCACAAAGGTAGTTTGTTACGGGTGAGCCTAGATGTCTCCAATTCATACATTATCAGTGAAAACGTCAAAATATGTGAGTGACTACTTCATACTGAGAAAACCAGCCTTCGGAGTTTAGGGCTGGAGTAGTGATGTCATTCAAATGATCTTAGAGCATACAGAAGAATGGATGCACTAAAACAGGGGTAGCCAAACACTGGTCCTCCAGCTGTGGTGAAACTACAAATCCCAAGATGCATCTCTCTGCAGGAGGCATGCCTATGAGAATGTTGCAATGCCTCATGGGATTTGTAGTTCCACCACAGCTGGAGGACCAGTGTTTGGCTACCTTTGCACTAAAATATATGTAAAGTACAATTTTAATAAAATACAGGGCTCTGTATAGAAGAGCCCCTGCAATGTGCAGATATGCAGTTATAGTAGACAAAGCTTCCTTAGCTGCTGGGATGCATTTTATTTTGTATTATATCCTGCTATTTAGCTTGCTGACACTAGCATATTGTATGTGACTTTTAGTATCTATCTTGTGCTCATAATTACAGGTTCATGGAAGTACTTTCAAGGCCAGTGTTTTGTATGGGAGTGGGTTTCGGACAGTAAATGCTGCTGTGTAAAGACTGGGCATATGGAATGTAGAAACCTTGTACACAGCAACCCATTACATTCACACTTACAGATATCACAGTAGACACTTCCTACAGCTAGAAGAATCAACAGCTCATACTTGGTGTATGAATGAGTACCACAATGGTGTGTACATACCAGTTAATTTTATATTTTTCTTACAGCACAGAGATAATCTGTACAAAAATATGTCAAAAAGGGAAACGCTTGTATTAGAACGACAGGCGTGACAAATCCCATCTGCCTATCTAAGGAGTAACAGATACACTCACCTGAGTCAACACATTTAGTTGATCTAGTATGTGCTCCAAAGTGCTAGTCAGTGAAGGGTGGGGAACTAATTGTTCATCTGTCAGAGGCCTTACTGTGTGGCCTTGTTTCTTCATGCTGGCACTTGGTAATGATAAAGGCATATGAGGCACGGCTTCACTTCTTGGATGATTGTTCCAATCTTGTTCCTGTATATAGATTCAGAAATAATAAAAGACATGGTAAATGTAAAAGTTATTTTGTAAGTCTTGTAAATGTACCAGTGCTAATGCTGTGCAGGAATGTAGCCATCTAGAAGCTGTGTTATTTACAGTCAGGCTGATCAGCAACTGATAGCAATGCATTTATAATGCAGATTGCAATGTGTCACACTGTGTGCTTTACATTTTATGGTAAATATATTCTGTTTCTTGTACAATTGTACAGTAAGTTTACAAATGCATGTCTATCATCAGGCAACAAAAATATACAAACCAAAAAGAATTTGTTACTGCATTTCTCATATAATTAAACTGCACAAGGTTTCTCACGCTAACTATGGAACATAAAATTGCAAATAAAACATTTACACGTATGGAAATTGCAATAGTGGGGCAAAAAATTGTGTGGGGGTATATTGTAGCCTTAAAGTGACACTAAACTCAGGAGTAAAATCTTAAAAATAATTCAAGTACCTTAACTATTCACATAAATGTAGCTTATCTGTGCATTACTCAGCTGTATCCACAAATCATCTCTGAATTCGTACTTACACTTTCCTTCCTTCTGGAGGGTGGATACTTTTGTTCCCTATGGTCCCTGTGTGTTGTAAAGTAGCCACCGCTCCAAGCTCACTCCTGTGATGGACTACAATCTCAATACAAATTAGTAAACTAAACATGAGATATAATCCATCACAGGAGTGAGCTTGGAGCGGTGACTACTTTACAACACACACAGGGACCATGGGGAACAAAAGTAGTCACCCTCCAGAAGGAAGGACAGTGTCAGCACCAATGATTTGAGGATCTACAGCTGAGTGATGCACAAATAAGATACATTTTTGTTAACTACTTCAGGACTGCCCACCATCAAAAAAAACACCCTGTCCTGAAGTAGTTATACTAAGAAAATTTGGGGTATTTTAGTTTTTTGCAGTTTCAGGGGCGAATGTAATTTAAGGCTTGACATGTTTGGTATCGGTTTACCCGACATGACCCCATCTTTTATATTTTACCAAAAAATTGGGTATTATATTCAGTTTCTGTGCATTAAATTTCATTTTAGTGTATTTTATCCTAAAAATACCGGTTTGCTAAACATTTGCACAAATACTGTGTGACATAAAAAATTACAACTAGCATTTTTTGTATTCTACAGGGCCTCGGCTTTCAGAAAATATGTAATTTTTTGGGGGGGATCTGAAGCTGTTTTCTAGCCAAAAATTCAGATTTTATCATGTGTGTGTCAATATTAACAAAGTGCTCTGGACAGCAAGTGGTTATTAGTTAAAAGGTACTTGAATGCATTTTTAAGATTTAACTCCAGAGTTTAGTGCCACTTTAATTAATAAATTATCATTATAAGTGTAAACAAATTATCTTATTAATGGGACAAAGCCACCATTTATTGTTTTTACTACTTTGTTATTAAGGAGCCCCAACATGGAGTATTTTAAAGTACAACTCCAGCTTTAATTTACCAGTGCCACCACCACTATGCCTAAATCTGCCAAACAACCTTAGAAAATGTGGCAGACTAGCTTATAGTATTACCAAAAAGGTAAATAGGAATAGATTGCAATTGATTACTGTGATCTTTGTATGTTTTTGGTGGAGTTTGTTAGCAGTGGATACCAAGCTTAACTACATACAGTATGTCCTAATTTGTTTAAACTATTTTGCTTACATAATATTTCCAGAAATAAGAAATGGATACTTCATTTTAGTATGAAAATAACAGAGTAATATATTAAACTTGGAGCACTAGACTCCTGCAAGGCAAGGCAGTTTTATGTTGGAAATATTTAAAGGCCCTCGAGCAAAGCAAGTGATATGATAATTACATATCCTGCTTATTGATAATCAGGTTCTTTCATGCTTACAACAGTTGGATGACATTATGCCCCGAAGCTATCAATCCGGTATCTGTTCTTTTATATCAGCGCATACAAAGGGGTCAAACAGTGTTTTAGCAGTGTCTGGAATTTGTCATAATCCACAGTCCATTGTACCTTTCAATCTCTTTTAAGTAGCTTCATGTGTCAGACCTGTCAGCAGGCTGTGGAGGCCATGACACATGAAGTATTAGGTTTCGTAGTACTGCTATGTGCAGTCTGGTCATTGTATTTTAATACTGCACATCTATTTAAATTATTGCTTATAATATCTATTTATCAAATCTGAAGGTATTATTTGTTATTGGGCTGGGGATGGGGGTGGGAGTTGAAATCAACATGCATTTGCCATACATTGCAATATGTCATACAGGTGTAATACTAGCAAATGTCAATAAAAACACATGACACAATGTATTACCTGGGATTTTTTTTGTAATTTTCCCATTTTATGTGCTTCTTGTTTCATATTTACTGTATTTAATATATAGCTTTCAAACCTCTCTCTCTAGTGCATATTCGCAAATGTGGCTAACATTCCTGTTAAGAGACTGCATACATTAGATCAGGGGTAGGCAACCTTGGCACTCCAGCTGTTGTGGAACTACAAGTCCCATTAGGCACTACAAGTCTGACAGCCACAGGCATGAATCCCAGGGGCAGAGGAATGATGGAATATGTAGTTTCACCACAGCTTGAGTGCCAATTATGCCTACCCCTGCATTAGATCATCTAGCCACATAGGTAGCCATTTGTTTTCCATGAGTCTGAGTCTGATCACAGTCCTGGGCAACCTGGCTAATCAATGCAACAGGTGTGTGTTTATTAATATATATATATATTTATTTATATTAGGGGTGCATTTTTGCTAGTACTCGTGCAAATGCCCTAATACTAAGCGTCGGTATCTTCGCTTTAGATTTTTAAACTGAAGCCGGTGCTGTAAATAGGCCCCACTGTTCGCAGGAAGGCTGCCGAGCTCCCCAGCAAGGTCCTGCCAGTCTTCCTGTGAATCACAGTGCTGGCCACAAATCTCCTCCTTACTGTGGAACTATGCTGCCCGAGAGACCGACTGGGACCCCTGGTGAAATCACGCACAGCACTCCTGACACCCAGCACAGCCACCTGAGATCCTCCTCTGGAGACATCAGGCCAGCACCCATGACAAGTACAGAGTATGTAGCTTCACATTATTCTGTATTGATGTATAATGTATTGCTGAGATTTGTAGTCCCTCTACAGCTTGCAATCAGTGGCAGTACTACCAGGGGGGTGGTGTTTGCGGCTGGGACTGTGCCCTGGTGCTTCACCGCTGTCCTAAAATCATTAGTCTGTATGGTTATAGAACAACTGTCACAACAAAAAAAAGGAAGAGTATTGGTAATAGGTATCGGTGAGCACTTGGCCAGTATTTTGTACAGGTCAGCTTTATAGCATCTCATGCTATAATAGAGGAAAGCAATAATGGGACACTGCAGTCACCAACATACAGAGGGTTGGAAGTAATACAAAAAGTGTCTGTTGTTTAATTCAGGTTATCACTAGCTTTAATTAGCTAACATGCATTTTAAAGTGTGGTAGCTCTGAAATTCTCAACTGAATGCATTACTCAAACAGAAGCACGGTCTTGCATATATGGTAAATTACGTTTGTACTAGATGCTCTACAAACAATGAAAGCAACAGTGTAGTTTGATAGCAGGCACCACAAGCCGTCTGCTCCTACCTCGACTGTGCTCCCCTGCTATGTCTATGTAGAATGAAAGCATTATATGGCAGTACTGCCAGGCCATCGGGTGTAAATAATTAATCCTGGTTATAGCCAAACTACAAAATTCAGGGCAACCAATAAGGCTGCTGATGGGCAACCTGAAGATAAGAGCTCTCCCCTGCACATTGCAAATGTCATAAATACTTTACTTTGTACATTGCCTGCCAAAAAAAAGTCACCACCTGGATTTAGCAAAGCAAATAGGCCAGAGCCTTCTGTTGGATAATAGGTTTATGTTCAGGAAAGTTGTGTGCCCAAAAAATGAGGTCAGCTGCCTACCCTGAATATAGTGAAAGACCAGGTTGTTCCATAGATGTCAGGATTCATTGGGCTGAAATTGTGAGAGTGGTTCAGGGAGCACGAGACACCATTTTCCCACATGGATTGGTCACCAGAGTCCAGACCTTAATCTCATTGAGAATGTTTGGGATGTGCTGGAGAAGATTTTACACAGTGGTCTGACTCTCCCATCATATCTACAAGATCTTGGTGAAATATGAATGCAACTCTGGATGGAAATAAATGTTGTGACATTGCATAATCTTATCGAAACGATGCCACAGTGATTGCGTGTCATAATCAAAGCTATAAGTTGTCCAAGGAAATATTAGAGTATGTGACTTTTTTTGGGACAGGCAGTGTATTATGACAAAAGACTGGATATTTAGTACTTAGAAGGTACTCAAACATCCTATAAAGAGTTTAAACGGATAGCATCTCTCTGAACACAGAGAATGTCTCAAGAATTAAGTTCTTATTTTTCTTATCAGAAGACCACATTATTACATGAAATGACACATCAATGGAGGAAGTACACTATGTCATATGATAAAAAGTCTGAGGAAACATCAGATACGATCATAAAATACATGTGCATACACACTTACAAAATGTGCTACCCAAAAAAAACCAAACCACTAGATCTTTGTCATGGGTGTAATCTATACTCCTGACTTCACAGTTTTTGATCCTGTAAAACCCCACCGATACTCACAGCATGGTGAAGACATTACTGACAAAACTTCCACCAATACTTTTTTTAAAGTTCAAATAGAGTGTAAAAGGGTTAAAATCTCCATCAGGTTTTACTGCTGTATATGGGCCCATCAGGATGGATTTCCGATCATTCTCTTTCCCACTGACAGTGGTCACTAAGACAGGAACGGAGGGGAAATCGCTCCAACAGTAACACAAACAATATAAACCCATTTCTTTGTGTATAAGGATTAGAACCTCTTTCAAGTTTTACTGCTAAATATTCCTGCTGTTGTGATGGATTTCCCCTCACTTTCTTTCCCAATGACAGTGGTCACTATGACAGAA